CAGCTAAAGACAAAGATGTAAACGCAATGTGTTGTGACGGAGACCCAATGCGTAAGCTTAACCGGAGGCGTTGGTAACTTACTGGTTGTCCAAAGTGGGCACTGTTGTGCAGCACTGAATGTATGTCGAATTGCCTTGGCAACACGCCACTCGACTTGTGTAGCCACATCATCCCCTTTAAACCGCAATTGAAGATAGATGGGCATTTTTGACACTGTAGAGGGCTTTTGTTTGATCGCTTCCGTTGCGCGACCGTGAAACTTATTAAACACCGTCGGGTAGCCATTTGCCTCCAGCGTCGATGTGTTGAACAGCAATTCGGTGGATCGAGTTTGTATTTTTAACAATTTTTGAGTGTATGTTAGTTTCGAATCTCTTACTGCATTGTATTGCGGCACAATAGCTGAGGCGTTCATCCTCTCTAGCTAAGGTGTTGTATACTGAGGATGATGATGAGTAGTGTAGGTGGAAATATTTGGCTGCTGCTCCTCCCAACACTGGCACACCACGATCGCGGTTTCGTCCTGGTTTGGACTCGTCAGGTGGAGATAGACTGAGCTGGGGTGGAACTCAGTGCTTAGTAGTTCACGGCCGATGCCCTGAACACTATGCTACTGAGATGCGCGAGCAACGCTTGGCACAGCGGAAAGGAATTCAAAGTTGAATTTAGGGAACACGATGTGTGGTTGGGTTGCGACTCGTAACCTCTATTGAGACCTCGGTTCAATTTGAAGTAAACCAAGGTCATTCCGATCGCGCGGACCGTACCCGGAGTGGAAATATTTGGGTGTTGCTCCCCCCCCCCGACACTGTCACAGCAGTGTTGGGAGGATTAGGGAAGAACAGACCAGTTTCCGCCGAGGACGTGGCTGTATAGACCATATATTCACTTTGCGGCAGGTGTTAGAGCAGCGCCACGCATACCACAGACCGACAATAGCTGCGTTCCTCGATTTTAAGAGTGCGTTTAATCCAGCCGATCGATCGATTCTGTTCCAAATACTTACGCCAAAAGGTGTTTCCATGAAATATGTGAACATCCTTCGTGCTCTATATGTAAAAACTACAGGCCGCGTCAGGGTCTACGGTGGCCTACCGGATCGCTTTCCGACTACAAGGGGCGTTCGTCAGGGTTGTCCGATTTCCCCAATTTTGTTCAATTTCGTGGTGAATTCGATCATGGAGTGTTCCCTTATGGAATTTCATGATGTAGGAGTTGGGGTCCTGCTAGGTGAAGGATCAGTTGATGTTGATTATGCGGACGATATCGTCTTGCTTTTTGACGATGTTGCGGCGGCCCAATCAACCCTGAATAGCCTGTCCAGAGTGATCCCATTATTTGGGATGCACTTCGCACCTTCAAAGTGCAAAATGTTGCTGCATGGCCACCAGCCACTTTATGACCTCTTGACACTTAACGAGGAGCTCGTGGTCGTGTATCAATTCACTTATTTTGGCAGTTGCATCAGTAACGAAGGGCGCATAGAAACTGACGTCAGCTCACGCAGTGCAAAGGCCAGAACTGCCTTCCTGAACCTGCGGCAGCTTTGGCGACAAAAGGGAAATTCCCTCCGTCTGAAAGGCCGCGTTTACGAGGTCAAAGTAATGGCCGTTCTGCTCTATGGGAGGGAGAATTGGCCCCTTCGGTCTGAAGGTCTGAGGTGCATTCAAGTCTTTGATCATCGTTGTCTACGAAACATTGTTGGTATCGGATGTCACCAGCGTGTCCGCAACGATGATGTGCGCAGGCGAGTACGAGGTAGTGATAATCATGCTAGCTCCCTAGAACAATAGCTAGCACTGAATAAGTTGCGTTGGCTCGGGTACGTGCTATGTATGGCTGGTCACCGCTTTCCTAGGAGAGCCCTTTTTTAGTCCTCCAGGTGTAGGGTGACGCAAGGCTCTAGGTGGACAGAAGTTGACTTGGCAGCGGGAAATGAAGTCACTGACAACCAAACTGGATACCGTTGGTCCGTCTCGCCTTCTAGGCTGGAGTCCACGTGACTCGCCTTGTGCTTGACTCCAGATTTTACAGGAAATAACTCGCAACCGACACCAGTGGCGCGTCTGCTGCCGTCCCCTAGTCGGATTGCCTGATTAAAGCGTGCTTGGTGCTGAGTTCTCTGCGGGGTAATGGCTGATTATGACGCGCGGCAGTGAAAGCCGCAAGGAAGCTGTCTCGCCGATGCCGCCTTATCTTTGCACGATAGCTAGCTGTTTGTGACGGTATGTTGTTAACACAAGGTGTAGGCGCCTTGACCCTGAATGTTTGCTTAGGGCATTAAGGTTTTCAGGTAAGTCCCCCTTCTCTCCCTCTTATTATTCTCTATTTCATAGGTCATCATGGTTGTATGGCAGCAATACATCAGTTCAAATGGCTGGTTTACTGCTGTTGATGAAGAGAAAGACACGGTGATCGCTGCTACTGCCGTCGAGGAAGACGTTCGTCAGCAGCTCTTGAGTGGTATCCGCCGTCTCCCGGTTACTGCCGCCGACATAGGTCATGCAGCTATGCAAGACCCCCGTCTTCTGCCAAACTGTCACTAACGTGCACACACGTTGGCTCACCAATCGTCTATCTGGAGAACTCAAGCAGCTGTCTCAGCGCCATGACTCACTTTCCATGGTCGATTCCTGCCTTATGACTGCTGACCGCGTCATCGTTCCTACCTGCCTTAGGCAAATCGTACTCCGCCAGTTCCATTCTACTCACCCTGGTGCGAACAGAATGAAGTCAATCACCCGTAGTTCAGTTTACTGGCTCGGTATGGGCAGTGGCATTGAAGAATTGGTTCGCCGTTGCTCACGATGCCAGCAAGCAGCTAATATGTCATCACAACAACCTCGAGTCTCTTGGCAACCAGCAGAAAAACCGTGGTCCCATATACACATCGACTATGCTGGTCCGATAAATAGCGTTTTTTTTATCTGGTTCTGGTCGACGCCTACTCCGAATGGCCGGAAGTCGTGGCCATTAACACTGCGACCACAACTGCAACGCTGACTTGCCTATAGCGGATCTTTAGTCAACATGATTTTCTCGACGCCTTGTTGTCTGATAATGGTTCGTAGTTTACGTCTTCTATATTCGAAGATTGTTGCCGTAGTCAAGGCATCCAACACCTCCGCTCACCGCCATACCATCCCCAGTGCAATGTTCAAATGAAGCGTTTCGTCGACATGTTCAAGAGAGCTCACATGAAAGCTCGTGGGGAGGGAATCTTGGATGAATATCTCCAGGCATTCCTTTTCTCCTACGGGAGCACTTCAAATCCAGCATCTCCGGATGGTCAATCTCTCGCCGAAGCGTTGTTTGGCCAGAAGCTGCGTACCACCCACAAAACGCTTATTCCAAACGAAGAGGCGCCAGAACAACTCGCTGTATACACTAGTCGTAATGACTTCGTTGTTGGAGCCCCTGTCTACGCCCACGACTATCGAGGTGGTAATGCACGCCGGATAGAAGCGAAGGTGACGGATCACCGAGGCTATTTGCTTTATGATGTTGTCATGGATGGTGATATATCGGTACGCCACCGCAATCAATTCTGGCCGCGATACGGAACGATATCTACGCAATCCAGTCCGACTATGTGTCTTCCGCTACAAATCCTGCTGGACACTTTTGGAATCGCAACCGAACAACCGACGCCCGTCTAAGCCGTTCAACCAATGTTAAGCCCCAACTGTCCTCGCCGCAGGACAGAAAGTTAGAGAAAGGCCCAAAACGCTACAAGTAAACTCTCACCAATAACAGTACCGTCTGCCTTGAAGGGGAGTGCTGTGGAGCCCTCATGGTTCTACAGAAGTATCACGCCGAGCCGTTTCCCTCTCGCTGACTCCATCCCACGGTTTCTGCATGGCAAACCACACAGATGACAATTTCAGCGATGTTCCCTCGGTGTCACCGTTATCTACTTCTATTACGTCATTTATATTACCTTATCATGCGACAGTGTACCTGCCGCAATCAGTCCGTGATTCCCTCGGTAACACCGTTGCTGGGTGACAACTCTCATTAAATGAAGTTCGAGTTTGTAAATGCCTTTTAGTCTCGTCAGCCCGGTGCTATAAATACGGAGGTGTAGAATTCATATTCGCCTTTCTTCTAAGTCAGTAGAAGCGCTCTTGTTGAAAGACTGTTTTCTCGCTCCCTCTCGGTCTAGCGGTGGAGTTCTGGGAATGCGCTAGTCTTGCGTGTGGGATAATCACTGCTAGGATCTGCGGGGGCGTAAACGGTCTGGATTTCGTACAGCTACTCGACGCGTGAAGAATAACATCAACAAGCGTTATTGGCTCGGCTAAGCAGCATACTTAACAAGTAACGAACTCAAGAGAGGAGAAAAGAGATGACCAGGAAATTGCAGTTGCGATGTGAGCTGGTGACACTATCAGGCGGCCCGTTCTTAGAGCGGCTTGTTCAAGAGCACCCATACTTCATCAATCCAACAGTCTAACTCATAAGACTGTGGACTCGGCAGCCAATTAGAGACAGGGAAAGCGCAAGGAAAGTTTGCACATTAAACACTAATGAGGGATCCCAATGAGTAACAAAAACTCAGCAATGGATACGCGGGACTTGTTAAGCATTGCTTTTTTACCCGTAAGGCAGCATTGTTCGATTATTGCAGGACTTGGCCAAATAAGGCAAAAACGCTTTCGCAACGGTAACATCTTGTAAACTTCGATTGTGACGGTGAGTGCCTATTGACCCTTTGCTATTTGAGTTAAAACAATATGGGCCATCCACAAGTAACTGATCGCTTGTAGCGTGTATCCGAGCAGATTAGTTTGCACAGATATGACTAAAGATGGATTCATTCCATTTCATTTTAAACACAAGTATGTTTAACCCCTCCCCTTGAACCCAGCATGTGGAGTTCAGTAGATGGGAAGGTTAGGAAATGAAAAACTTGATCTTTAGGAAGCAGAAGCCTTCAACATCCTGAGAAACATTTGTCCATCTTCAATTAAAAATGAAGTCGAGATCTTGGTAGAAGTCACAGAAAATTGTAGGACGTTGGTTCCCGAGGATAAGGGAACCGCGGATCAAGCAAAGGATTTCGAGGTCTCCGTTTCGGGTAATGATGCTCACAGTCCTCGTGGATGCGCTCTATGTAGTTGGTGTACTTCTTATACACAAGGTCTCCCTCAACTGCTGCGCTGATCGTCATCAGCTTAGCGAAAATTGGAGACAGTTTTCTGTATCGTACCAACAAACATCGCGGAATAAGTGGACCGAGCCAAGGAGTGGGAGAGGACCGCTCAGACTCTGCAGAACTTGAATCAAATGAAATTAATTCCAGTTTACATGTATCAACTGCGTAGTCAAAAACTCCGGCCGCGGCCTCAAGGTCCTGTAGCCCTAACGCAGTCTGAAACATCAAACTAAGTGCAGGATCAAGAGTATCCAAATTTAGGTGAGGACCGTCACACTTGGCTTCCTTCTTCTCTGCAACGCCGAAAGCATTGAGTGATTCCGCACCTCCCCAGCCTCCTATCAACCGTTTCTTTCGACCATCAAAGCTAGGCGGTATACCACGCTGTTCCTTTTCTTTTCTTAACCGTACTTGCTGCTGAAAAACATCATCAACCGCCTTTAAAATGAGATCACCAAGAGGAATCCACTGCGGTACGTTTAAGATGTAGATATGCTGTGGATCTCTTGGGCCAAGAATGTATAGCCGCATTAGATTGCCCCTAATAGGCGGCAAGACAATGAGATCTGGATGATTTCCAGGCCAAACAACCCGCTTGTCATGTTGTTCTGACGGCGTCAATACACTGAATTGGTCCTTTTTGACCTGGTGGAGGGCAGGGATAACGCACTTGGGCTGATGGTCCCACTCACCGAGATGTGTAGACTTTTGTTTTGAGGTGCACCGAGTTGCATTGGCAAAAGAGATGCTTCGTTTTCCCTTTTCCTGTTCGAAAGCCAGCAGTTTGTGTCGCATCGCAGGGATGCTGAAACTGGGTAAATCTCGTGTGCCAGGGGGGCACGGATCATCTTCAGCCCTATCTAGCCGTAATGTATCTGCAGGAGTAAGCTCGGTCAATTCAAATAGCTTGTCCAATTCCAGTATCTGCTCCGCAGTCAACTGGGCAAACTTACCACGGACATGGGCACTCACGTCTAGTAAATTCCACAATGTGTCCTTCTGATGGCGGGACATCATGGTTGGAACCCGGACAACAATATAGATGGGTTCCGTTAGGGTGCAGAAAGGATCTGGAAACACGAGTCGGTCGGGGCCCCAGACGTAGATTGGAGAAAAGGATCGAGCGAGCGGATAAATCCAGCGGCCAACTCGCAGATAACCTCTTAGTGGTTCCAAATCGTACGCATCCTCGAACATAACAATTACCATTGGGAAAAACCCCATGAGAGCACCAACTTGGCCGCTCCTGTTGATAACGTACATGTAGACACCTTGCACTCGCATAACTTCGCATCCATTAACGCGTGCATTAGAGCGTTTCTTTACCATACCTGGGGAATTTGTATTGGACAACAACGGCGAGCGAAAGATCGATCCAACCGATTTGAACTAAATTCAAGGTCTTCGCGTAGCTAGAAAAACAGCTGCAACTTGAACAGTTACACAATTGCAGTCTAGTGCTTCTCCGGGCATGTGGACGACTATCTGATTTGGAAGCTGGCTGCGAAGAACCACACTTAGTTACACAAGCAGAAAAGTTAACACAAGGGTGCCGCACGATTTAATTCCGGAATAATTTCTCTGCATATTTTCAAGTGCGTACTACAGACGTGTGAATTTATAGCATGATGAAAGGAGCGCAATGAAAATGGCAAATTGACCAAACTATACACACCTACAATCATGTCACTTTGTCATCTGTGCCCGGCCCGCTACCACGGCAAGGCCAGGGTCACAAATGCGTCTTTCTGCACACACAGAGTTGGGCCGAGTTGTTTGATAGCCACGGCCTCAGCATATCGTAAAGTTAGGGGGTTCATTGATGCATAGATAACACGGAACGCCCGCACGGGGTCTACACAGTGATTGTCAGCCAGCAGGTGGCGGGCGATTGATGAAGCTGGTTGTTTGTATGGAACTTCATTTCGCTTCCTTGGCTGCGCATTCAAGGTTGTGGACGTGGTCATCTGCGAAACGTGCTTACTCACCCACGCCAGTATGTGCTCCGCGACCCTCACCCTCAAGTGTCGTTCTGTCATGCCCACGTATTCGGCCTTGCAAATACATGTAAATTGGTAAAGGATATGTGAACGGCTGGACAGTGACAACGGGGGTTTAACCGATGGAGTAGGGATACGATTCGTTGTGTAGATGAGTACTGGTTCCGCCGCAGGGTTTACGCGCGCCACTGCGGATTTCAATCGGCGTTGAAAAACCTGGCATACGTCGTCGCCCTTGAATGGCAATTGCAGGGTTACCAGGGACGCAGTTTGATAAGAAAGAAAAGTTTGTCCGTAACATTCTTGGCATAGCAGAAGCTCATGAGGCTAGAGGGTTAAGTTGGAGCCCTCGTTTAAACGGACATTTGAATTGAGGAAGTAAACAATAGAAAATGGGCCATCTGGAAAGTAAGAAAAATGCGCCATCGCCGATACGTGCACTCTATCCTACTGTAACACAAAAAATGTAAAGCAGGCCAGACTGGCAAACAAAGATGTGACTGAGATCTTACTGCGCGAATTACATGAGATTTAGACAACCCTATTCCGCCCAAAGCATAAATGGAAATAATCAAGTTCCGTCTGCTGAAACATCAGGTACGAAGGTGTCTCATCTAGTCCATACAACATCATCACCATCATTCATTATACACGTTAGCTAGAGGTGCAAAGCACCTCAGCTAGTGTGCCGCAATACAAAAAAGAAAAAGAAAATCAATACAACAGTTGCATGCCAGCTGAGTTATCAGCGACTGATGGGTATCGTTCCGGAAAGCTACTAGCCGACAACTAGGCAATAACAAAATTTTTATGTAAAATTATATTATGCTACGAATAGAGAACGTGGTTGGAGGGGGAGGCTCAAAGGGATGGGAAGGGACAAAGAAACTCACAGCAGAAACGCCACTGAGGTCGGCTCCTTGCCATGCCGGCAAGTGTATCTAGCCAAACGTATTCATCGTCTTTTGGACCCCAACCAGGGAGCCGTGAGGCTCCAACCGGGGACAGCTCCGAAGTGAGGGCTTTCATTTCGCTCGACCAAGTCATCACTTGGCCACCACTCTTCTTCTTCCATCCACACCCCCGGCGCGCAAACAACGCACGTCGTGGAAGTCGATGGGCTGGTATACGGAACACCTGGCCGAGCCATCAGAGCCTGATGCGTGAATTGACGGTGCTGAGCGGTTCAGTTCCTTTTCCTGTGCAGTAAACAAGGCGTCGAACACGCTCGTGAGTCAAACTGCGAAGGCACCGATGCTCGAACGTAACTAGCCACTTTATGTCCGCCGATCTAAGGGGCCAGGTTTCGCAACCATACAGTAAGGTCGGACGTACCGCTGCACTGTACACTCTACCCTTCAGGGCGAGGGTGATGTCGCGACGCCGCCATAGATGGCGAAGACTAGCAAAAGCACTTCGAGCTTTTGTTATACGGTTCGTGATCTCATCTACAATCCCGCGGGCGCTGATACAACTTCCTAGGAAGTTGAATTTCTGAACGACTTCTAACTGATCCCTCCAAGGTTCAGCGCAGGAGTCGATCTCTGCCAATCTTGCAGGAAGGCTTTGCACTTCGATGATACGAAGCAAAGCCCGAAGTGCTTGACAGCCACTACTAATCTGTCCAGTGCAGCTTGGCACGTCTGGGAGTTGTCACAGATGAGGGCAAAGTCGTCCGCATACTCAAAGTCAAGAAGTTGTTCTTCTGAGAGTAGTTGCACACCTCTTTAAGTCGTGTCCTGTAAATGCGATCTCCATGACTTCGTCAATAGCGAAGTTGAAGAGGAAAGGTGACAGCGGACATCCATGTCTCACACCGCTGGAGATATTGAAGGGCGACGACAGCTTGCCGTAAGTCCTCACTCTGCCCCTGCTACATGCGTCTAATGCTTGGATAATATTCACATATTTCTCGGGCACACCTTTCCTTAATAGACAGTTCCAAAGGTCACATCGATCAACCGAATCGAAGGCACCGTTGATGTCGAGGAACACGACCACGGTGAGCCGCCAATATGTGTGACGGTGCTCCAACAACTGACGCAAGGTGAAGATGTGGTCGATGCAGCCACAACCCCGACGAAACCCAGCTTGCTCCTCACGAAGCTGGCTTTCACGAGTGCCAGTCATTCGTGAAAGATGACAGATGCAAGCAATTTGGAGGCGATGGAGATCAGACTGATTCCTCTATGGTTGCCGCATTCCGATCGTGAGCCTCCCATGAAAATTGGGACTATGACGGAGCGGCTCCAGTCGGTTGGGACAGTTTCCTGCTCCCACAGTTTCACTAGTAACATGTAAATCATCCACAAGAGCAGGTCCGCCGAATTTGAATAGGGCTGCATGAAGATCATCTGGTCCCGCGGCTTTGTTCACCTTCAACAGTCCGATCTCAGGTTTGACTTCTGAGCGAGAGGGTGGATCCAAATGGATAGCCCACGAAGCAGGGCGATCACTGGCCGGTGAGGAATCGAACAATTCCGGCCGATTAAATGACTTTCCAAAATGCTCAGCCCTACGCTCCAGACATTTTGATAAGTTGTGGATAGGCTGTCCACTCTCGTCACAAATTGTTTCACTAACACCAGATCTCCTGCTGCCCGTTTCCTCCCGTAGCAGCCGGAATAAGTTTCGATAGTTACCAAGGGCAGCGGCCACTTCCATCTCTGACGCACAAAGAGACCACCAGAATTCGCGGTCTCTCTTCAGGCTAGCATGAAGTTCTGCCCGTAGCTCTTTGAGAGTTCCATGGTGTTCGTTTCCACCCGGAATATGCCGGCGAGCATTGATAAGTTCCATAGACCGCGAAGAGACCCAATGTCCTTGTTGGCGATTAGAGTTACCACATGAGGATTTGCCTACTGCTATTAAGGTCTGGTGAACATGAGACCACTGACCTTCACTTGTCTCCAGTGAGCGCTTACTCAACTCGCATGTCAGCGTACTTCGGTACGCATTCAGAACAGCCGGCTTTGTCAGTTGTCTGGCGTCAATGCGCTCACCCCGTCTTCTTAGGCGTCCGCCAAAACGCATCCGCATGTCAGGACATACAAGTGCATGGTCGGTGTCCACACATGTGCTCCAAATCGAGCGACACTTCTGGATGCAGCCTCTCCAGCGGTAACTGATAGCAATGTGATCGATTTGCCTCCAAGGCTGGTGAGCGCCAAGTCACGTTTCGGCGAGTGCTGTGTCGGAAGTCAATGCTCACAAGTAATGAGCAGGCATCTTCACACAAATGAAGTAACCGCTCACCGTTATCATTACGAGAGCCAACGCCATGTTGGCTGCCCAGATGCAGCTCATCAGTGGACAATATTCCAAATGGTGTGTTAAGATCCCCCGCCATCACAACAATATTCGTGCTTCTTCTGTGGCGAGGGAGTTAGGCCAGTTGGCGGTAAAAGTTGTTTTTTTACCGAATCATCGCTATAGTTTGTGGGTGCGTAGGCAGCGATGATGATTAGACACCTATTAGTCCATACATAGAATGCCAGCGTACGTAGCGAACTTTGGCTAACTGATGAAAATGATCATCTGTGACTCATCCTCAACAATTGTCTTCGCAAATATTCTGCGCAAGGTCGTAGCAAAGTTGGAGAAAGAATAGAAGATAATCATGCGCGGAAAATTCCCTCCTCACATCCGTTTGATCAAACGGAGAACACATCTACCACATGACAGTATTCCCGTAGGTTGATTGGGTCAGGTGGTCGATCGTGTAAATGCCTCGCAGCAAAATGGTTACATGAGGAAGAAATCAAGAGTAACGTGGTGGGGCACAAGGTGCGGAAAGCGGTACTAGTTGGAAGACAGGTGCAAACAAATGGACGCGGCTACCTAAGTTGAAAGCAGAGCCTGTTGACAGAACGAGGATCGACAAAAGCCAGAGTCGAAGAGTAACTGGTGTCGTGCGGTGGATGTGACAATTAGGATCCTCATAGTTATTTTGCAAATGGAAGTAGACTGGTGCTCAGTACTTAAAATTATATGCAGGATCTTGATGCTTGCTTGCAACAAGCTATTGAGGATACAGAAATAGAACCGGTACGTTGGTTAACATACAAAGTAGCTACATGCCCCCGCATCGGACATGCGAACCTGCTCCCCATATGCGATAAGCCACCGACTGAAAAGTATATGCCTATGCTTATGGGCAGAAATGACGGAGAGAAATATCAAATCGGACTACGACTACAACTATCTCTA